TCGTATCCATCACAGCTGGGATCTGAACCTCTTGAAGGGCCCATTTACCATGTGATAAAACACTCCAGCAAAAAATAAACGCATTTGTCTAAGTTTAGGGGGGCAGGTAAGAATGAGATGGGTATCAGCACAAGGGGGAGGGAGGATTGGACCTCTGTTTATTCTCAGGCATCCTGAAAAACACAGCATGGGTTAAGTCTTCTTCCTTTATGACCAGAGCCACACTCTTGCAGAGCAGCACCCCTTGCCTCCTGACTGCAGCACAATGGACTGCCCGAGAGTCCATTAGCAGCACAGCTGGCATGAGCGCCTCCGGCTGCAGGCAGCCAAGGCAGCCCCGCACCACCACCGACTCTCCCAACAGGGCAGGGAGTGGGAGCCTTAAATGGCAGCCAGCTCTGCCAGGCCGCTGGCGCCAGCCCCGCTCGGGGAGGCTCTCCAGCCAGCCCTCACAATTCACAGCAGCCGTCGGGCTGTGTCAGCGTCAGCCCGGACTCGGCTCGACCATGAGGCAAACCGTAAGAGCAGGTAACGCTGGAGCAAGGCTGTACGCAGCACCGACCCCATCTGCCCCAGCAGCAGACACAGCTGCCTGGTGGGGCGGCCGTACTAAGGCGGAGGACTCATACGGCAGCGAGCCGCATACTTTCTTCACCAACTTCAAGCGCATGTTTCAAGTCATGAGAAGCAGCAGCAAGAGCAGGTCTCCGTGCAAATGTTTCAAACCAAATCAACACTCCAGCTGAGCGTACTTAAATGTAAAAGCTGTCCTAGACATGGAGCAAAGGCTTCTCACCAGCAGAGGAAAGCCCTTTGCTTGCTCTGTGGCACCATCTAGCGCTAACAAAGTAAAAACGCTCTTGGGAAAACAAATCCATTCCGGGTTACACCAAATTTAGAAATAAAGCAAAATACAAGCACATAAATACATATCCAAAACATGCAAGGCAACTAACGATAGCCCATTTTCACTTTACACATGATAGGGCCTACTTCTGTCAGTCCAGTATCAAAACGTTTCTGTCGAGTAATCTGAACTGGTTGCACACCAGTTAACGTCCCAGCAGCGTGCACCTCGGAGCCCAGCCACGCTCATTACCACTATTCCCATTAGACTCGGCAGATGAGCCAATAACAGCCATATGTTCTTTAAACGTACGTGCAGCCTTGCAGCTGCCTCCCGCTCCCGTTCCAGGCTGGAGGCTACACTGCTGCACCGCGTACGCACTGGAAATCACGGCTGAAGGGCAACAACAGCGGCTCTGAAACAAAGACCCGGTAGCCTTTCGGAAGGTGGTCAGGTACAGCACTCATACACATCATCTCCAGCAGGTACTAAGGTACAGGAAGAGGTGAGCCCAGCTCCTGGGGATGTTGGCCTCTACGCACCATTAGCTCAGAGGTTAATATCCCTGCTCATCGTACTCAGACAACCACAGATCCCAAGTGGTTCCCTCTTGCTCTGGAAAGTTACATCTACTTGCTCCAATTTTATTACCACTACTAGTCGTTGGGGTTGGGGGGGCTTCTTTTTTCTATTTCCTACATCCAAAAAAGTTCTCTACTTCTTATAAACCTAGATGATTAAAAAAAAAAAAGTTTTATTTTTTCCAAGAGCAGCTCAGTTCTTACCATTTTTACAGCTGCTTATTTGCAGCATCCGAGGGATGATTCCTGTCAAACTAAACGCCAGATTCTTCAGCCTTCAAGTATTCCAGCAAGTTTGACTTTAAAATAGTAGAAAATGTGATTTTTCTGCAAAGACGAAGTCTCCGAAGTTACAGAGTTCACATCCTTAAATTGTGTAGAGATCTATGGCTTTTGAAATGTTGAAATCTAGTTGTTTTTCAAACTCCCCATTGGAGCCAAGTGAATAATAGTAACTTGCATTCTCATGGACAAAAACCGCTTTGAAAATCTGACCCAAGTGATAAATATGATTAATTAACTCTAACAAACACAGCAGTCTTAAAATTCACATTTATACTCCAGATGCTCCCACTCTCTTCACTATTTCTGTAAGAATTCAGCACATATAGAAACATACTTATTTTATGTACTTTTAACAGAATCAGTTTTCATTCAAATACAAATAACCCCCCCGCTTTAAAAGAAAATTCCCCACACACACCTGTAATAGAATTACAAATTAAACTTCGGGAGAAAAAATTATGTTAATCTATAGAGCTGCTTAAATATACACCAGTGACACTTTAGCATGTAAATAAAATGACACAGGTAAAGAATTAATCATTCCAAAATCAAACTAACCTTCCTCTTCACCCCACCCCCAAGTGTTGGTTTTAAATCAGCAAAAACCTATGACCTAAATAGCGATTAAGTCACTTTTACACGTTCTTGCTGGACAGCAAACACCATTTCTAAAATTATCCTTGCTAGAAATGAATGTTGAAGTTCTAATGGCTAGGGCAGGCTCCACATTCAACTAACCCTCAGTTGTTTTGGTGTGGGCACCTCCTTTAGCCTCCAGCAAAGCCCTGAGGCACACAGGATGCACCTGTCAGTCAGTATCGATACTCAAAGCACAGTTTGGTGCAAGAACCTTTCTCACATCTCTGCTGCTCCCATTAACGTTCTCAGTCCTTTCTGGATTTCAGCATATTCAGGTAAATCTTGGAGCATATATGTGTATTCTTCCAGAAGACTTCAAGAGTTTGCTACACATATAACCAGCCCAACTGTGGAAACAAGTGCTTTATCTCTATGGCAGATCTAAGAATCTGTATGTCCTCCGTCATCACTAGAAACACAGTCTTTTTTTAAACCATAACTATGCCTTCCGTGATTAGCCACGATTAAGGAAGACCGAGGACTGGAGAATCAAGTATTTCTCTCTATTTCACGTTGTTAAAGACGACAAGTTCAGGTCTGACAATCACCCAATATAACAATTCCGTTTTCTGAATACAAGCCTTTGGGAAGTGAAGCGGTAACAATGAACCACCAAGATGTTACCATCGGCAGAGAGACAAAACACATACATACCTTTTATTCTGAGTGGGACAGAATTGCCTAAGATGTGTCACCATCTCAAATAATGAAAGCCAGCAGAAAGGTAACAAAAGGTCAGTAAGAAAAAACAAAAACCACAGGATAAATGAAACGGGCTGTAAGCAAATGTCTAGTGAATAAGCCACAAAGATTGGATGCCACTGACTTTCAACACTCAAACCTGAGCCAGTAGGTTCCCAAGACTTAGTCCTTGATCACATAATATACCTGCAACACTTGGTGACGAGATCTGCAGACAAACGGTCACACACAAAATCTGCTTGAGATTAAAAAATAATATTCATTTTCAAATGGCGGTGCTCAGCAGAACCTGATCAACAACAGGGAAAGGAAGCACAAATGCGTTAGTTTCAAGTTTTATTTTTCATGTTGGTGAAACACATAGCCTCTTCTCAAGAAGCAGCATCTGTAGAGCTGTTACAAACACATTTAGTACTCTAATACACCACAGATTTGGAAAAAGAACAAATAAAGCACAGGTCTCACACTGCACTTGGGCATACTGAGTCTTAAGTTACAGATAATTTAGAAATCTTCTGATTTTACATATACATTGCATTGGCCATCGCTCAGCCTTCATGCACAATTTAACTTTATTTTTCTTATGGCCAGCACTGGTTTTGGAAACTTTCTTGCTGTATATGGTTATCTCTTCCACTTTAAATCACTTAAATGATATTTACATATGTGTGCAAATTGCTTTGAAAGATAGAAACAAACACTAACACATGATATACAGATGGCTTCTTCTATAGTTAAACATTTACTAAAAGGCAGTTAACATTCCTATCACTTTCATTGCCTAAAATAGGAGAATAAGTTATATAAAATAAACCATCTTATTTTCAGACACTTCATTTCTGCAGATTTGGTCTTTGCAGCAACATTGCAATCAAAGATTAAGATTCTACTCCTAAGATTCAGAGAAGCCCCTTTCAATTCAATGGCAGCTTAATGTGTTTAGTACAAGTTAACTTTTGTCCCAGATTTTCCACACTCGGCACGGGAAAAGAGAAAAAAGCTGGGGGGGAGTGGGAAGACAGTCTTGCACGTCTATTTTATTTTTTTGGCAATATGAAAAGTATGCTTTAAGAATCTAATGCATAAATTTTAATTTTTCTTTTAAGAGCCTGTTAGTGTTACAAGCACAGTTTAAATAAAGCCTGCAAGTTCTTTCACAGAAGCACCCAAGGCTCCCAGTTTTTCTTCTTACGCATGTCATCTTCTCAGATATATACAACTGTTCACACACACTAAAAAGAAGACTCCTTGGGACCATTCAACAAAACTGATTTCAGAATTGGAAGCAGCAGGAAAAGCTTGAAGAAAATTACTTAGTGTTCCCAGTGCTCCTACATGTGTGGTTTTTTTCTACTTGTGATAAAGACTCCCCATAAAAAGTGCATGGTCACCTTCATGAACAAATCCAGAAGGCAGAAGTTGAGTAAACTGGAATGAGTTGCTCCAATGGTGGAAAAACAAGAGTGACAGGGAAGTCTTCAAAACCATCTTTCATGTATACTTGTAATCAGAGAAAAGCAACTCAATTCCCAAAATTTCATTTAGACTAGTTTACAGACGAGCAAAAACTTCTATATACATCATTAATAACAAAGGGAAATTACCTGTCAGACAGTAAAGAACTACAGGTGTAGTCTCAAATAGCTCTAAAATTCAAGCTGATTATTACATAATACAAAGAAAAAAAACTGCTTTTTGAACACCCATTAAATGGAATAATGTGACTTTTACAGTAGCCCCTGCCTGCAAATCATGCTGTGTAGCTTGCGCACTCATCACAATACTATTGAGTACTATCCACCCCAAGGAAAGTGAATATTAACCCTCTAAAAGTTTACCTTCATCACAATTACGTCTGACACACCGATGTCAGACATACACTTGATATGATGTTTTGAAAATGTCCAATTCCTTAAGTGTTGGTACAGTTTCTGCCATGTTAACACTGCTTTTGGTCTACTGTTTATTGAACTTTGGGCATCATGTGTCACACACAAATCCCTGCTGGATTCCAAGTGATCTCACCCTAGTGCAGTCTCGATTAGGTTCTTCTGAAGAAACAGACCACAGGTACAGCTTCCAGTGTTGTCAACTTTTAAGCATAAAATGGTCAACTTAAGACACTACAGAAGCTTGCAAAACACATGATGACGTGAAACCAAATAAAAATAAGAGAAGATGCATTAAAATTTGGTTACTTTGGATTCTGAGCTAGTTTGAAAAATGCCGTTTGTAAGAGATAGCTGTTCTATGCTTTGAAAATATGAAAGAATGAAATAGACTTCTTCATAGACTAGCATATTGATTAGTAAATAAACACCTAGACCGCTCATGAACTCAAACATATCACTGAAACATTCCACCTAAGTTTTTGTTAAACATTGTCTTCAGAGCTTTATATTCAATGCACGTTATCTGCTACATTCAATTTCTTTTTTGGTTATGGCATGCTTCAGAAACACCGTTAAGAAAGGTCGTCCTCTCCTTCCATTCCCAAGCTGTACATTACAAACACTATGCACACATTTATTTCCAAAGACTTCAGGTCAATAAATTGCTAAGATGAAAGATGCGTGTGTACTTTGAAGCTTGCAAGATAGCTTCAAACTAGTTGACTTAGTATTTTCCACACCCACACGGATACTGCTTGCAAAGAATAAGATATTAAAATAATATTCCACAGTGGAGTAAAAACATGTTGAAAATAAACTGAATGCTCCCCCTAGTGCTTATACTAGTGAAAAATCCTGCCTGGCACAGTCTGCCTTAAATGGTGCTAAACAGGAGATAAATAGCCAGATGAATGATCGTATATTTAACTCAGAAAACAGTCACAAACATATTACGGGGACCAAAAAGCATCAGCTGTTGAAATCCAGCATTTAAAATTTTGTACCACTCTCCCTACTCCAGTGCTTCTGGGGTTTTGGTTTCTTTTAAACTGTGCTTTTAGTAAAAATTTCTTTCGAATTTTTCCCATCAACTGAAGGAAGCTCCTACCAGGTAAGAAATGAGTTCCAAAGATGTTTCAAGATGATAGGCACAATGATGCTTTTTCTCCTGTATTGTACCCAGAAGCTGCCAGGTTAGTATTATCATTCCCATACCACAATTGCAATGAAGCTCTGGTAAATCTGGTACCTTTGGATATGCTCAACATCACAAATAAATCAGATATTTAAGACAACCTATGTCTGTAGTTAGCACAGTCCACCAGAATATTCATCCTCTTCCTCATCAGCATGAGAGCCCACTGCGGCTGGTCCTCTTGCTTTGTCTTGTGCAGCATTTGGCGATTTCTTCTTGATTCCACCTCCTGGGACCACCAAGGTAAGACCAAGCTTGGCATACTGACAATAACAAGACAAATTTAATTTCTGTACTATCACAGAAGTAAAATTTTGTTGGATTACATTGCACAGAATTGACCGACGCTTACAATAAACAAGCAGGTTAACATTCAGTACAGAAAACAGATTGATGCTGCTTTCAGAGTGTATTTTTCCAGCTTAGAGTAAGCCTAACATTGGTTCATTTTTTCTACCTCAAACACTCTGAGAATGGGATGCGAGATCTGTACTGATAGTGATTATAGAATAACTTGGCCACATCCTACAACTTCTGTAGTTCAAGCTTTATGTAAAAAAAAAAAAAAATTTTTCAGTATGCAGCTCTGCATACATTGTCTAGTAATGGTTCATGTAAAAAGCCTTACAAGTGTTTTTCAGTAAGACTAGTACCTTAATTTTTACTATTCAACACAGTAACAAAGTAAAATTAGTCGATACTGTTACAAAGTTCGGCATGGATGGATGCCTCCTTTACTTCACACCTTCCCTTAGCCTTATACTTCCTACAATTTACAAGTACATTTGGGGGGGGGGGGAGATGACAAAACTACTTTTTTAAAATAGAAAAAAAAATCTTTCACTAATTAGTACCTTGCTAAGGAATAAGCGCTGAAAAAAAAACCATTCAACAATGCCATCCTGTAGGCATCGTATTCTGTAATGTTTATGCACGCATATCAGTTATACGGTATTTCTGAGATAAAGCATAAGCAGCAAACTGTGCTGACCCCTAAGGAACCAAGCAGAAGGGAACTGAATTTTGGTCAACTCGTCAAACTTGGCAAATCCATAACAAACTGCTCTTTCACCTAAGCCTTCCCACTGTCTGAAAGGAACAACAATGTGGGAATTTACATTGGCAGGCAGCAAAGTAAAAGAACAGACAAAGATCACAGGCACAGGGCAGGATGACAGAGCAAGTCACAATAGGTACATGGACCCTGCTCTTCCTATTTTCCTCTACTAGAAAAAAAAACCTCTCAATCTGAACAAGCAAAAGGATTATAGAAAAAAAAAAATCCATAGGAACTGCCTACTTACATCATTGTCCATGTATTTGAAGAGTGGCAAATTACAGACTTCAGAAACTTGATCCTGATCTTGCTGGTCATACCCTTCTAAAAGTTGCTCTAGTGCTGCACAGTCTTCACTTCCATTAAATCCTGGTATACTGAAGGAAATTAAGAGTTCATTTAGGGCATTTCAGCAATCTACTTGACACTCAGCTATTCTCTAAATACTGCTGATTAATAGCAGAAGAGCAAGCAGCTTTTAAGAATCGGATGGACTGCTTATTCCACAAAACTGCCTATAACCACTTTGATTTCTCCAGGTACATGGATCATACCCATAAAATTAAACTTTCAGCAATATTAGTTTGCATGCTGAGAATAAGACCACAATCATAGTCAAGACAAAAAGGGAGTATTAGAATTCTTCAATTCTTCCTGACCAGTCAATAAACTCTTCCTCCACTTTACATACAGAAAAAATCTGTAATGAGTTTCTATATATAAAATGCAAATTGAAGACTTGGAAAATACGAGCAAGATTTTTAAAGATTGATCTTGAAAAATTCTTTCTAAAAATAAAGTACAATTTAACTTACACATATGTTCAAGTCATTTCACTAAAAACACAGTTTAAGTAAAAATATGTTGTTTCAGTATTTTGTTACTGAAGTCCTAATGAAAGCTGAAATGGAGAGTAGCTAGGAAAGCCTCTGGAACCAGGGTTAAACACTAATCCAGATTTTGACACCAGAATTTTCTCCTGGATGTGTAAAGAATGCCTTCTTCATTTCAATATATTCAACTGGACTACTTTCTGCTTCCTAAATTATCTTTCAGTTCAATCAACTATTTAAAAAAAAAAAAAAAAGTCACAAAAAGTGGAAGAAAAGCAAGATTTCTAATGTATGACGAGGGCAAGATCTCCTAGATCAACATAACCAGAAATGTAGTAATTCACATGCTGCAAACTTTTCTTTAACAAAAACATTTAGATTAATCTTTCCCTCAATCTAATCACCATACTAGTTAGTTTAATTGATTATAGTGGGATGCTGCTATTGCGCATTTTGAGACTGCATTCCATATTTCCATCCTCAAAAGGTAATAAAATACGGTAATGACAAGTTACAATTTTAACATTTTAAGGGCCTCCACACATGACATGGCAAAAGGATTCTGAAAACATTCAGTTAGCAACATCCAGAAATACACACTTTTAATCCTAAACATTTGTTTACAATAGCTAATCTGTCTCTGTTCCATTTGAAAAAAAAAACCCACAACCCAAAGGATATCAGTAAGGCAAGAATCCCAACCATAACAGCATTCTGCTCACTTTTAACAAGGAAGAAAACCCGGGAAGAACTTGAATTTCCATCTCATTTCACCTGTTGCACATTACTTCTTTATGACTAACTTTTATTATAGGTTCGTTAAGAAGAATCACCATGGTAATTACAGCTAAATCTGTTAAGAGTGAAAAAAATTCCTGATAGCCATATATCAGGGAATGCTATTATTGTACTGTAAGTCAACAGAAGTACAGGCTTAAAATTTTTTGACAGACAGTGTCTCCATTGCTCTTTCATAAGAACAGATCTACTAAACTAACTAAAGAAACATTCAGTCTAAAATTATAGGACATGAAGCAGACTTACCTATAGCTTTCCCTCACACATCTTTCTGCGGCAACATAATCATTTCTGTGAAGATGAACTAGGACTTGAGCAATAGTTTTCTAAACAAAAACAAAAAACCCAACCTGATGATTCTTTAGAAATTAACAGTAAAATATGAGAAAAATACTGGACTGCTAACATTTAGCGTGAAAAAGGTCATTATGATCTGCAACGGTTCTAAGATACTGACACAACAGAGTTGGAACAACAGAGTGAAAAAGTAGTACACAATATCCTCAGCTGGTATGAAATAGATTATCTCCTTTAACATTGTAATGAACTGTTGCACCAAGTAACAGTTTTTCTGGTTTGTTATTTTTGAAAACATCTTTATTTTTGATGTGTTTGTTGTTTTTGACAGCTCCTGTAGATAACAGCATCTTATCTTCAAGATTATAGTAGTGAAAAAAGCACATTTAGAGGTTGAGGAAACATGCACTACCACAAATTGTCATCATTTAGCAAGAAACATATCCCTGAATCAAGAGGTACATATTGTCAGTCAGATGTCAGCTGTCATTAGTTACCCAGAAAAACTTGAAATGCACTATCAGAAATTGTCTGTTAGAATTTACCTTATAGCATGTTGGGTAATTTTCAATTTCCTTATAAATACTTTTTTCCTTTTGAAGAGACAATGCAGCCTCATCTAATCTAAAAAAACCAAGAAACAGTTAGGAGTATCAGGGCCAGGAATACAGCATAATGAACCTGAGGCTAATTACAAAGTGTTTAACTAATACACTGGCAAGTCTACTGGAATAAAAAGCAACACAACTAAAAATCAGCAGTAGATCTTACTAACAGAGTAGATAAAGAAATATATAGTCAGCAATTCCTTTTGTATACATGCGGGCTAAGAACATCTCTGGTATTCACTCAGAGAAACCTCATTTTTCGTAACACTGTACAAGATAAATGCCTTGTTACGCACCCTAACAGATTTCTGTATGTCATGAGGTTACTATAAGCTATCAGTAAGTCTGATAGCCATGAACTATCAATATTAAGTCATAGTAACTGCTTTTGAGTTTGAATACTCTTTTAATCATCATATTTAACTTCTAGAAATTAGCAATAGCACGTGAGCTATAAAGCAGCACAGCAACCAAGTCTTTCAGATGTTCTGAAGCTATCTTGACTTACTTTCACAGAAAGACTTTCAAGTTACTTTGTAAATTTCCTTTTCTGACTACAATTCTGCAGTGAAATAAAGTGTCTTAAAAGTAGAGTTAGAAACCCAGACGATTTCTTAAAGGAACTACATGTTCCAGTGAAGCAAGTCTAAGATGAACTGCAGGTCAAGTTTGGTGCTAGCAATTAACAATTAAAATAAATTCCCATTGAGACTCCAAGATACACTCTTCTTTAAGAAGTCCGGAATCAGACTGCTGCAAACAGATTTCTTTCCTCAGATTAGTCATCTAATTCCCTGTTTTATATTCCACAGCTATAAAAGACTTTCAAGTACTTTCTGCATATTAGTGCTGGGAGAAAAAAAAATAATCCTGAAGTATTTTAAGAATTAATGAAAACTGGTGTATGTGCTTTCTAGCTATTCAACAAACACAAAGGAAACAAAGCCTTACAGCCCACATTCTTCCATCCCAGAACACAAAACAGGTGGTTCCTGCATGAACATGGCATATCCCACAGAAACTGAGTTTTAGTTTGAAGTACGTCTCAAAGAAGAATAAAGTAACAGTATATAAACCCAACAACAGCAACAAAAAAAAACCCCAATGCAAATCACTATTACAGATTCAATTACATTTAAAAAAAGGCATAAAGCTATACCTGCGTCCTCTGACTAGAAGTCTTGATGCCTTCCCTAGCATTTCTAATGCTTGCCGTAAACGTTCTTCATTCTAGAGAAGAACAAAAAGAATTCATGCATTCCTATTTCATCTGCATAGAATTAAGACCACTAGACCTTAATCTAAGTATGTCATCTGTAACTTAGAACAACTGTTAATTATTATATCAGCAGTTCACACACTCAAGGGAAACACGAAGAGTATTGGTGCACCCAACTCCCACAGCCAGCTCCCGTATGGATCTACAGAGCAAAGTAACATCAATGCAGACTTGCTGATCTGGAAACACGTAACAACTGACAATAGAGAAGCGCGCCAAAGGCAGTAGCAAAAAGGCAAATCATCTGCTCATGGGATGGGTAGAGCATCAAGCAAACTCTTCTCTTCTGTGCCTTCAAGGATTTCAAACTATTTTTGGCTCCAGGACTCAACAGCAGCCGTGTTCCCTACCCTCTGGGCTGCCCAACAAGAGGCAGAAAACTTGACAACATAAAAAATTCAGATCCAGACAAGTCCCAAACTGAGAAAAAGGCAAAGCAAACTGACTCCTAACTTCTATAATCTCCTTCTCTACAGCATAAGAAGCCTTCAGCTTCATCACTCAGCCACTGATGTGAAATGAAGGAAAAATAATTTAGAACCTAATCTTAGGCTTTTTCTTAACTTTATAGCTGACCTTAAACACCAATTCATACATCTTCATATACCTTCTGGGACTGGAAAGTTCTTTGCTGGGGGTCGGGGCGAGGGGGAAACCACAAACCAAAAAACCCCTACTTACTTCAAACACTGATGCTGCTTGCTGATAGAGCTGCACAGCCTTCTCTGGGCTCACATTTTCTATTAACCTGTAATAAACACAAATCATTTCTCTTCAGATGAAATGAAAGCATTTTTTACCTAAAAGCATCAAAAAGACAAGAAAGAAAACCAAAGACACGTCCATGCCCTGCATACATTCTAGCCACCAATACCACAGACTTACTTTCCAGCCCGTTCCAGTGCAATAGCTGCTGTATCTGGTGTCCCGTTCTCCAGGTACATCATACTGGCTTTCTCGATCAGCTGAACTGCTTCAGGGAGTCTCTGCATCTCCTGCAAAGCAATAGTCAGAGGGACGCTGCTGTCAGGAATTGTGCTTATGTACAATGAAACAAATCAAAGCAAACTGTAATACCTTACTTATTAAGATTCTTATTTTTATTTACAGACTTGTAGAGCTAGTGAAAGTTGACCACCGACTCCATAAAATTCACTTACAAGTACCAAACTCTCACGTAAGGCATGAGTTTGTGGTAGTTTAGAGCAGAAGCAATACTACTCTTCCGTTACCCTCTGACATGAGGCCCTCACCTTTCCTTCCACAAAAGGAAAACCATTTTTTTTTCCCCAATTACAAATGTCGCTTCCCTATCTACTGAGGGTATTGGTGGGGACTATGAGTCAACAGAAAAATATCACTTTAACATGCAATTTGCTTACATATATCTGTAAAATGGTCCAGTGCACAATATTCTTCACAAAAAAACCTAGAGCTTTTAAATAAAAACTGGTAAATTAAAATACCTTTAGCATCATGCCAGCTTGCTCATAAGCTCTGCGGAGAAAAAAATTTATAATTTAGTTAGATATGGTATATTTCAGCAAGTTGTAGTTATGCAGCAAAAGTTAACATGCATCAGCTATCACTTCATTGTTAAATTTCATGCGTTGAAGATGTTTCAAGTGTTTTATTTAATGAGACAGTGCATGTGTAACACTATCTTCCACAAATGAAGTACTTCAACCACACTCCCTACTAAAAATCTATTCTTATGATCTGACCTACAGGCAATATTTGGATTATTTATCATTATCTGCTTGCTTTGAAGTACTCTTCAGTTAAAAACTTCTTCATAAGCTCAACAGTGTAGAATTTCAAAATTTAAAAAAGTTCATACAAGAAAAAATATTTGATATCAGGAAGTGCTAAAGAATGTCAAAATCATCTTTTCTTCACATGGCCATTGCAGGTTTTCAGACTTTCCTAGCTGCACTTCCATTAAACTGATTTTGAAACAGCAAAATCACTTGAACCATACCATTTACTACAGCGAGATCAAAATGATAGTTCATGCTTGTACCATATGTTAGAAAATTTGTTTCAGATTACTCAGTGCTTCTGTACTTACTTGGCAGCATGGAAGAGACTGGAAGTAACATTGTCAAAGTCAAGGACAAAAGCCACAAAAATATAATGCAGAAAAATTATTAGTGTACAAAATCTTATACAAGTACTAGTTTCAAAGCAAGGAATCCCATAAAGGCAAATTGAACCTACTACATTTGTAGGCAAGGTGTCAAAAATAAACGCTTCTAAGGACAGAGTAAATGCAACGTACCAAAGTATAACTGCACGTAAAGTTATAAAAAGCACATTTTTTAAACTATGTTCTTCGTTACTAAATACTACTATGAGTACTGTAATAATGTCAGTCACATTTAGTTTATACTATCCATTTGTAGGTATTTAAAAAGAATACTAATTTCTAAAGCAGTACCTAGACTGGCACTGGTCAGCACCTTATCACTCCAGATGTTATTGGAAACAACACAGATTTTCTAATCAAGAGAGTTCTTTAGTTTTCCCACTCAGACCACACGGGAACAGTCTTTTAAAAGGCAATTTTGTTAGAATGACAAAATCGCAATATATTAAATACATCATCTACCAACCCCCATTACCCCATTCTAAGTAGCAACTAGTCAGCTTCTTGGAAAAAAGAATAACTATTGATGAAAAGATACGCTTTATTGTTTTCATGTGCCTCAGCTTCCCGTAAACAGGCTTCCCTTGCCTGGTCAAACTGCTTGGCATTCTTAAAAGCAACAGCTGCAAGAAATCAAATGAAGTTCTTATTTACAGCTTGCCATTTTCCTTTTTTCAACACTTCTACTCAAGAATTTAGCCACCTAAAGATGCAAATAGACTTTTTAAATAAATGATTAGTTTACCAAGCTCTTCCAAAAAAATCCCATGACAGTCCTCCTTGCTTCATTAGTCACTTAGTTACCATTAAAAGCATTTATTGTCAACAACACTTCCATACCATCACTGTACCACACACTGTACATAATGTGTTTAGCTGGATTTTGGAACTCACTCATTCTGTATTTTAATTACAGAACTG